TCGACGGTCTTTTTCTCGTGGCCCCGCGACGGCTCCATGTAATTTACGCGGTGCAGTGGCAACGCGCGTCGAGCGCCGAGACTACACTGTATGGCACTCGTACAGTACATTGCGGGCCTCGCAGGAGCAATTCGAGGTTGATTTCGCAGAGTTGGGGCCCGGCAGCCGCGAGGCAGCGTGTCTCGGTGCCGCTCGTCGCGTTGCTGGCCGTGTGCCGGATTCGGCATACTGATGGCTGCTGGATACGGTACTGTGTTTTACACCGCTTTGTCGTAGAAACTGAATTGGTCCGGTAATGTATTGGCACCGTAAGCGGCCCCGCATTTGCTGAGATTGTGCAAACCGAGTGGTCACCGACTGTGTGCTGGGACGGAGGGGGGGACAGGAGGGGAGGACAGGGTGGCATCGGCCCTTTCCTTTACCGGCAGCACTGCACTGGGGTTCACCTTTCGTCTCCCAGGTCCATCACTGCCCTGGCGCGAATCCATTTTTGGTGCGGTATCTGTATTGTCCTGGGATTGTTAGACCACGATCTACTGCGCAGTAGAGGACTTCTTGTACAACAGTTAGCAGATCGCCAACCTCTTGCGGCAGGCAATAAGTGCCGCCTACCGCATATCACTGCGCATATATCGCGGCGTAACGTTGTACAGCCGACGAAACGATCGCATGAAAGCACAATCGTACATCCTCGCACGTTACGTCGCATCATTGACTTGCCGTCGTGGTATATGCTGTACCACTATTATACCGTACTGGGTATGTGCTCGCATGAGCACTCATTTTGTACGAAACAGTAGAAAGCCGTTACTATACTGTAGCTCGCTCCATATAACCAGCACTAAAGCACGGTACCGGGTACTGTACATCCAGTTGCACCGTTCAGCTAACCTTATTATCGAGCACGGAACAATACTGTCGTCTGCAGTCTTGTAACAATACTGACCGCGCAAGTCCAGCAAACCGGCCACCGCGCTTACAGCCGACCCGCGCAGGTCCAAGCTGCACCGTGCAACCAGAAAATAAAACCCAAGAAAAAAAAGCCTACGTGTACTCTGCTGTCCGCTCGCTGCCAAACCCCCGATTTCCCGCCACACTATTTCCGGATTGCGGCCGGCATGCCCCGCAAGGGCCAGCCCACGTCATCCGTCAACCTTCCGTCCCGCGGGTCCCTCTACCGCGATGCTGCTGCCCCGATGCGCGGGCGCACGTACCGCCCATCTTCCGGAAGGCGCCGCCGCGCCCGCCGCGCCCCGGCCGCGCGTCGGGGCCGCGCGTCATCGTCGCCCCCGTCCGCGCCTTCTTGCAGCGCGCGTGGCGCTGCGCGCGCGCGCTCAGCGCTCAGCGCTCAGCGCGGCGGACGGCCGGTTGCGACAGACGCGGGGGTTCGCCCCGCGCGCGACATGTCGGCTGCCGGCAGGCGCTGCGCGCTTTCCGGAGGCCCGCGTTGTACGCGGGGAGGGGGCGATGCGGTGGCCGGACGCGCGGGGGCGACGGACGGGGCGCTGGCCGCAGAAGGTTTTGCTGGCGGACGCGGTCGCCCGGACGCGGCTCGAGAGGTGTCGGACGGCGGGGCTTACCCTTCGAAGGGCAGCGCCGGGCAGCACGTCAGCCGTGCCGCACGGCGTGCCCGGCGCGGGTGACGCGACGCAGTTCTCGAAGCTGGAGGCGGGCGTGGAGACTTGAGGTTGCTTGTGCTGCACACGTGTGGGGAGGCGCGGTCCGGCGGTGGCGGCTGCGGACAGGGCGGGGGAGGCGGAGGGGATTGACGGGAGTAGAAGGGGAAGGGAAGGCCCAATGCGGAAAGGGCACTTGGCGCGGGGTGCGGGAGACACGCGTGATACGTGGGGGACGGCACCCCGGCGAAGAATCAGCCCCCTCGTTGACGTTTGACGCGTGGAAAAGGGTAAGGCGCTGCGCATGCTTCTGCAATGCTGATGCAACGTGCATGCAACGCGCATGCAATGTCAGGGTGTGTCTTAACAGGCGCTTGTTTGCGCGCTTGTTTGACGCGCAATGCGGTCCGTCCTTCTTCATCTATTCGCCACTTGCGCAAGCGCTCCATCTACAGCGAAGACGCTCTACAGTGCGTCGCGGAAAAGCGCACCGAACAAAACTTGACGCTTACTCAGGAGCGACAACAGCTGTGCACAGATGCGTAACGCAACCGCCGTCCTCTGCCTCGAACACCTCGCAAACAACACCCGCCCCCGGCTCGCACAGTACAGAACACAATCCGCCGTTGCTTGCAATGGGGGGGCATGTCCCCGCCGCCCCGCTGCGCCACCCATTCGCGCCCGCCCCGCACCAATTCCACCTCTGGCCCGCGCGGAGACAAACCGCCAGCCATTGCGGGGCGTCCCGTAGCGCTGCGCGCCCGCTGCTGGGCTCTCGCGAGCCGACCGGCGCGGCAAGCGGCGCAGTCAACCGACGCGGCGCGCGCGCGCGCGTGGCGCTTGACCTCGCAAGCGGTGCGCTGGAAGCTGCTGCGCGCGCGCGAGGCGCCGCGCGCGCGCCACACGCGTGGAAATATCCCGGGCATGTCCCCGCCCCATCCGCCCCTTATCCGGCATCGCACACGACCGCCCCGCCGCGCGAAACACGTGGCCACGCGTACGGCTGAAGGGCCCGCGCCGGATTCGCTCCCCCGCCGCTCCAACGCGCCCCGCATACGTCCCACATTCGCCCCACATTCGCCTCTCCGCACTCCCTTTCTGTATGCTTTGTAAGCCCCGCTCCTCTAGCCAATCACCCAAAGCGTGCGGCTTCAAGCGCCACTCAGGGCGCGCCGCGCGTCCCTGCCGCCGCCACTTTCTTCCTCCCCGTTCCAACCCGCCAGCATCAGCTCGGAGAATCTCCCGTCGACAACGCCCGGGAAGCACCATTTCAGAACCCTCCTCCTCCGATGCCTTCCCCGCCCCCCTCCCCCCTTCCCCCGCTCCCATCCCCCTCCGCCTCACACCCTCGCAACCATGGCGCCCGCCTTCCTCCCCACCGCCCCGGTGGCCCCCTGCAGCCCTCACTGCCGCCCGCCGCTCACTTCGCTGCGCCCGCGCCGCGCGGCCCTGCGCGTGCGCATGACGCACGCCCCCATTGTCCCCTCGACGCCGGACGTCCCGCTCTCGCCGCCGCTGCCGTCGATTCCCGCCGTCCCGGCCGCCCCGTCGCTCGCGCAGCGCGCCCACCTCGAGCTGCGCGCGGGCGACGTCGCCGCCGCCGCTCGTCTCTTCGACCAGCATCTCACGCTGCGCCCCGACGACGCCCGCGTCTGGCTCGACTGGGCAAAGGCCGAGCGCCGCGCGGACCCGGCCGCCGCCGCTGCCATTCTGCAACGCGCCGTCGCCACCGTCCCGCGCGACCCGTACCTGTGGCATTTCAGGGCCGCGTGCGTGACGGCCGCTAACGGGAAGGCCGCCGCACGCGCCGTCTTTCGCTCCGCCATGGAGCAATGCCCAGATTCCGCCGTTTTGCTCTGCGCTTGGGCGAGCCTGGAGGCCGACGCGAATAACGCAGACTCCGCGGTTAAACTGTACCGCCGGGCCGTCGACACCGACCCGACTGACCCGTATAGCTATGTCAAGTGGGCGCAATTGGAGACGCGTCGCCGCAACTTCCGCGGAGCGCGCGCGGTGTATGAGGCGGGTGTAAAGAATGTGCCCAAGATTCGCGCCGTCGTGCTGTATGCGGGATATGCTCAGCTGGCTGCAAACGGACGCATGCCCGACAAGGCCCGCTTTCTGTACATGCGGGGCGCCGAGGCCGACCCGAAGGATAAGCTGATCTGGCAGGCGTGGGCCTGTCTTGAGGAGCGCGAGGGAAATGTGAGTCGCGCCAGAGAGCTATTCGAACGCGGCGTGGTGGCGGACCCGTCATTCTCTTCCAATTGGCAGGGCTGGGGCATGCTGGAGATGCGCGCGGGAAATTTGGATGCCGCAAGGTGCCTTTTCGAAAGGGGCACACGGGCGGATCCTGATGACTCAGCCAACTGGCAGGCGTGGGCGCAGCTGGAGGCGGGGGAGGGGAACGTGGCGGAGGCAAGACGGCTGTATGAAGAGGCCGGCGAGAGAATTGGACAAGACGCAAGGGCGGCGGTGATGTTTCTGGGGTGGGCTAAGCTAGAGGCGGACCTAGGCAACGTAGACAAGGCGAGATCGTTCTACCGGGCAGGGTCGATAAGAAAACGGGAGCGGCCGCAGGACCTGGTGAGGCTGCTGCACTCGTGGGCGGGCTTAGAACGGAAGGAGGGGGAAGCAGAAGAGGCGCGGCGTTTGTACAGGCGCGCACTAGACCTGAACGAGCGGGACCACCGGACGTTGCACGCGCTGGCACAAGTAGAACTAGAGGCGGGTGAAGTGGGTGAGGCGAGGTCGCTGCTGAGAAGAAGTGTTAAGGCTTCGCCTAGTGACGTGCTGTCCGTGAGGGGATTGGCCGAGATCGAGGCGAAGCATTTCGCGGAAGAGGGCGGCGTGGGCAGAGCGAGAGAGCTGTTTTTGAGAACCAGTAAGCAGATGAGAAAGCCCGCAAGTGTGATAAGGGCGTGGGCCGGGTTCGAGGAGCAGCAGGGCGACGCGGAGCTCGCGACTAGGCTTAGATGTGTAGCGGAGAAGAGGTCGAATTGAGGTAGATGGCTAAGGCATTGTGTAAAGTCGAATTGTTGTGTAGATTCGCGTCGGTGGTCTCGGCGGCGTGCTATGTCGGGGACATGTTGAAACGGGAGGAAAAGTTGTGACCGTGGGCTAGTGTGCCGCTGGCCTGGGTGGGGGTGCGGGTCTGCGAAATCGCGACGAGTCGCTTGGCTGCAATCGAAGAACAAAGGCACGACGAACAGTTGAGCCGCAGCTTTGAGAAAAGACGAAATATTACCTGGGAGATCAGAGACCGGCAAGAAGAAAGGGTCGGAAAGGCATGTGCCCGAGATTTACACACAAGGGTACCTGTATGATACAGGTACAGAGCACCCTTCGAAGTGTACTGTATGTGGACATACACGTAGAGTTTCCGGATTGGTAAGATGGCACACATTGGGAAGTTACACGTTGCAATTGAGCGTGCGCGGAAAGGGATCCGCAGAAGGGGCGGGCGACTCTGCGGATTTGCCCCAAGAAACCCGGAAAAAAGAGCGGCAACTGTAATTGATCCAATATTAAACATAAAGCTATCCTGCAGCGACCACAACACGGTCTAAAATAGAGTAAAAAACGCGTCACCCACATCAAACCCCGTTCGGGCCGCAAGCTCAGGAGGTACGACGCGATCCTTTCGAGACTCGCGCGGCATTTGGAAAAAGCGTCCTACACAACACAAACTCTCCCTCTCCGCACTGGCGCGAGTCGCGAGCCCCCGCCACCTCAGTACTCCATCACCCCCTCGCTTGTCCGCGATGACGCCCTCAGCAACGCGGCCCCCCACTCCCGGCAGCTCTGCACATCGTACAAGAAAAACTCCACCACCACCCCCCGCTTCAGCTTGCTCAGCACCATCCTCTTCTGCCCGGCGTGCACCCGCACCCGCGCCCCCTCCACCGGCACGTCCCATAGCTGCTTCCGGATATTCGAATCATAGCACTGCAGCCGTCCCTTGACCAGCCTTAGAAACCTTGTACACCGAATCCCCGCAAACCACGCCATCCGGCAGTACCCCTGAAAAGTCTCGCCCCTCTTGCCGACCTCCAGTGCCGTCTTCGCCAGCATAGCGCGCCCTCTTTCCTCGACCACCGTAGCCGACAGGGAGTAGCAGCTATTCTCCATCTCGTTTCCATCGCCGGAGAACACCTCCTGATCCATCTCCGTGTTACTGCGCTTGAACGAACCCTTGCTCCTCGCGAACACGGAGGACACGCGCCCGCGCTCGACGCGGTGGCTGCCGAGGCGGCGCGCGTGCGGCGCGGGCGACGTGTGCGTCGACGTGGACGCGAGCGACTGCGCGGAGCGGATGCGACCAAAGTTGCGCGGCGGCGAGGCGGACGGCGGCGGCGCCGACGCCGACGCCGGGCTGGCCGGGATCACCTCCGGACTCGCGCCGACCAGGTACGACTGCATCGCCTCGTCCGCCGGCCACTCCTCGTCGCGCAGCGGCGACAGCGGCAGCGGGCGCGGTCGCGTCGACGGCTGCAGCGCGCGCCGGTGCCGGCGCAGCACGGGCGCGCGGAGGCGCTCCAACGAGCCGCGGGAGGAGGTGGCGGCCATGGTGCGTGGAGGGGAACGGGATGGAGGAGCAGGATAGGGCGCGCGGGTTACGAAACATGGAATATATATAAAAAGCTCGAGAGAAAGCGGACCCAGGAGAATCAGGGGCGGGCCGGGCGGGGAGGGGGGGGGCCAGGGGCGCGATTTTGAATCACGGTCGACACGTGGCGCCGGAAGGCTGCTGCGTACGAGTGGGGAGGCTGTTGCAGGTGCCGGGGTGAGGAAGAATGAAGGAGAAATGTGGAATTTCACGGCGTTGCGACAGGGCGGCGTGCGAGGCCGTGGGTGCACCGTGCCAGGGACGGTGCCTGCCGTTGGTCGGCTACACGTACAATTAACTGTAGATACGGACGGATGCATTGCTGGTTGGTGCCGGAGAGGTGCCTGAGAGCGCCTTGGCTGCGGCTCGCCTGAAACTGTATGCCCCACCGCGCCGCCGCGTGTTCATACTGTGAAAATGAGCCAAGTAGAGGAAGGCTGCTGGATAAATGTGTGTCTGCGGGAAGTCGGAGCGCCATTCCGCCTCCCTCAATAACTGTAATTGCGTCTGGGCATGCCCTCTTTACATACTGTACCCGTTGAATGATGGGTCATTCAACAAGGATATAAACACGAGTTTCTCCCTGCACATGTACACAGCACGTGTGTCGCGGCGCTACAGCCGCACACACTGCGGCAAACTCTTCCGATCCGCTACCTTCAAGGTGCAACTTGGTCCAAGCTTTGATATGGCTTCACACAGATGTGCAACGCAGAATGCTTCACATTTCATACAAGTTGGCAATGAGACGGAAATACTGTACGGTGGTGCGGATACAAGTGGCAAGCAGTTTGCGTGCTAGCTGTGTCGCAGTCATCTAAACATCTTTCAATAACGTTGTCCGTAAAGTCACGAAAACGCGTGCTATGGCAGCGTGTTTGGTCATATTTTCTAACGAAAATTTTTCAGACAAACGCGTTGGCAAAACTCACATCATACCGAATCTGGGGGCATGTGAGTTTTCCACGAGTTTCACATCCGCCTGATCACAGCAGTGCCGGATCGACCCGTCTTGAAGGAAAACGAAGTGGGTCTTCCGTTCTTTTCATCAGCACAAACGAGTTTCAGACTACAGGGGTCGTATCGATATGCGTCATGGACGCCCCTATCGCTTCATTTGCGCAGAGTCTATCAACGGATCAAAGCGCGACAGGATCTTCCACAGATGCTGACGAAGCAACCGCGAAAGATAGACAAATAGAAGCTTCTAAAAAGCGGTCCTCTCCAAACGGCCCCCCTCAGGCTGTCAAGAAGACGAAACACATCGCCCTTTCGACTGAACCTTTCTATCCTTGTGGCGAGCTACAATATTCGCTTCAGCGAGTATTCGCGCAGGTGCACGTGATCCGTCCGGCGGCACAACGTTGTACCAGACTTGCGTTTGTTGCGGGCAGGCACCCTGCTGGAGGTCCGTCCGCAAAACCGGTGACGGAATTTTTCAATCTCGGGTTTACGTCCGATTTTGTGGGCAAATGAAAAAAGAGCACCGCCTTATTTCACGGACAACCTTAATGCAAATTGGTATTAGACAAAGAGTAAATCTTTACAGCAGCCCACTCTCTTGAATGGAAGGTGCAAGCCGTGCACCTTGCACTGCACGGTACCCGAGCTTACAGTACTTCGTGCACGGGCGTGGAGGCACTGAAGGATCGCGCTATTCTGGTATTGTTGTGAGTTTGACAAGCGTACAGTCTGTGAGGTTGAACAAAATTTTAACACCAAAATTTAGTGGCCTGTGGCAGGCAAGAATGTGATTCCAGGAACACCGATGCCCCCGATCCCCTGGGGGTCGGGCGGCCGGCGGTGACTTTATTGTGCAAGTGAGTTGTGCCCTATTGGCTACGTCTTATCGTAAGGGGGTGACTTACTTGTCTCTGTATGGAACCACAAAGAACTAGGTGCTGTTATACGTGTACAGAGGCAGGGATTTGAATTTTCAGGGTGAATGGATACTGTACCGTGACTTTGGATCACAAACTCAATCTCGCCATGATTCTTCATTGTGAAGAATGAGATCGCGAGGCAATCATTATTGCCGCGAACAGGGTGTAAATTTACTTACAGCCTGTCGCATGTGACTCGCATAGGTGGCGACGTGTCGATATGGATCAATTCTTCCTGCCTGCGCACGTCATCGAGGGTACAGTACAGTACGGATAAAAAGAACACGGCACTTGCAGGGTGACACGCCCAGTTCTTTCAGCAGACGTCATCGAGGATAAAAGGCTGTAACAACAAACCTCACCGTCTGCCAAACATGCCAACCACCGCCATCTCTGCTCGACGATACCGTTGCTTCTTTTTCTGCCCCGACCAGCCGCGTTGCTGCGGCGAAACCAAATTCTGATGATTTCTGAATCCCAGTGCTGTGCACTGAAGACTAAACTTTACGTAAACAGCGAAAAGTGCGATCATCCGGAATACAGTCTGGAGAAAAAGGCACAGGACCACGCCATCCCAAATAACGCCAATAAATCCGCCAATCATAAATCGCCCCCATGTCAAAAACGGATATATGCCAATGAACAGCCGCCAACTAGGGCCACCTCTGCATCCAGATCCGGCCTTGCTTCCCATCTGCTGCAGCCGACCATCACTCTCAGTACTGTCCAACAACTATAGGTACTGTAGAGGACAGCACAAAATGCTTCAAAACGGTCTGCTGTGCGAAAGGGCGGCCTTTATTACACTTCAAACGCGGCTATTTTCCGTTATGTACGCGTCTCGCAACGCGCGTACCGGGAGCCAACCCATTGGATACAGTACCCTTGTACTGTAGTACAGTACAAGGGTAGGCGGGGGTAGAGTCGCCGACGCCCGTCCCTGTCCTGTCATCACACATCATCACCGTCGTCCCTTCTTCCATCTTTTCTTCCCACCGTCCCTTCCCCCGTCTCCCGTCTCCCCCGCCCCCCGCGCA